AGAATTCTACCAACTTCTTCAGTCTTAAATTGTCCAAATGTGCAATCAATTCGCATTAATCATTAGTGGTGATTGGAATACCAGAGTTGGAAACAAAGAGGATGGATTAGTAATTGGAATATATGGCCTTGGTGACAGAAATGAAGCTGGAAATCACATGACAGAATTTTGCAAGACCAATGACGTTTTTTGTTGCAAATACCTTTTCCAAGAACATACACGGCAAGTATCCATGTGGACCTCACACAGGGACCAAACCGACTACATCTGTGGGAAAAGATGACAGGGAGGCTCAGTACCATCAGCCGACACAAGATCAGGGGCGACTGTGACAGAGCCATCAGTTCCTCACACACAAGCTTAGGTGGAAGCGGAAGAAATGAAAACAAGTGCAGAGGGCCAAACTACAGCCTTGAGTCTATCCCACCTGAATTTGGTGACCATCTAAAGAACAGGTTTTACACCGAGAACACTAATATCAAAGGCCTGAAGCATCGTGGGATGAGAGCAAGAACATCGTACATAAAGCAAAAGGTTATTATAAAGAAAGGCTGAAATGGATATCAGAAGAGACTCAAACTTGATCTTGAATGTAGAGAAACTAAATCAAGTAGAAGAAGTGATGACGTTAAGAGCTGAAGAGAAAATTTCAAAGGGCAATATCAATAAATAAAACTAAAAATATAAATAAATAAGATTTCAAAGGGCAGCTCAATAGGATAGAAAGTCCGTATATAAAAGGGGAAGAACTTGCTCAGCACATCTCAAGCTGAAAGAAAAAAATTCAAGCCTCAACTTGAAATACTGAGAGAGTTTTTGGGCAATATTGAATGATGCAAGAAGCATTAAAAGAAGATGGAGAGAATGTACAGAGTCACTGTGCCCAAGAATTAGTCACGGTTTTACTATTTCAGGAAGTTGCATATGATCAAGAGCTAATAATATTGAAGGAGTAAGTCCATGCACTGAGGTACAAAAAAATAAGGTTCAAGGAATTGAGGGTATACCAATTAAGAGGTTTCCACAAGCTCATGAAGCACTGGAAGCACTCGTTCACCCATGCCAAGACATTTGGAAGACATCTATCTGGCCAACCGACTTAACGAGATACATATTTGTCCCCATTCCAAAGAAATGTGACCCAACAGAATGTGGACATTATCAAACAATATCATCAATAGCATATGCACAATGAATTTCGTTAAAGATAATTCAAAACAGTTGCAGCAGTACATGGACACAGAACTTCCAAAAATTCAAGCTGGATACAGAAGAGGATGTGGCACGAGGGATATCATTGCCAGTGTCAGATGGATCTTGGCTGAAAGCAGAGAACACCATAAAGATGTTCACTTGTGTTTTATCAACTATTCAAAGGCATTATTTGGCTGTGTGGATCATAGCAAACTATGGATAACATTCATAAAAAATGAGAATTCCAAAATACTACATTGTCTCACAAGGAACCTGTCAGTAGGCAATGGGACATCCCCTTGCAGAAGGGATGCAGGGAGGGGACGAGCCAGTCAGGGTGCAGTGTAGCAATGATGAAACACACAACTTTCCTCTAGTTCTTAAATGCTTCCCACCCCACTATCATGATCCCAATTCTACCTTACAAATCCGGCTGGACCAGAGGATGTGCACTGGTACAGATAGGTACAGGAAACACAGGGAATCCAAGACAGATGAATTCCTCAGGACCAGTGGTGAGAGTGGCAATACCGGGAGGGTGGAGGGAATGTGGGATAGAAAGGGGGAACCGATTACAAGGATCTACATATAACCTCCTCCCTGGGGGACAGACAGCAGAGAAGTGGATGAAGTGAGATGTTGGATGGTATATGATATGACAAAATAATAATAATTTATAAATTATCAAGGGTTCATGGGGGAGCGGGGAGCAGGGAGGGAGGGGAAAAATGAGGAGCTGATACCAAGAGCTCAAGTAGAAAGCAAATGCTTTGAGAATGATGATGGCAACAAGTGTACAAATGTGCTTGACACAATGGATGGATATATGGATTGTGATGAGTTGTCCGAGCCCCCAATAAAATGAATTAAAAAGAAATATATATAATATATATACCAATAAAATATTCGTTAAAAAAAAGAAAAAGAAATCAAGAAGCAGTAGTCAAAACAGAACAAAAAGAAACTACATGGTTTAAAATCAGGAGGGAAAGCATGTGTCAGGGTTGTAGCCTTTCACCAGTCAGTCTGTGTGCTGAGCAGATAACCCAATGAACTGGGATATATGGAGAACATGGCATCAGAATTGGAGAAAGAGGTAGTACCAACCTGTGATCTACAGATGACACATCCGTGCTGAAGGCCGGGACTTGAAGCACTTGCTAATGAAGATCAAAGACTACAGTCTTCAACATGGATTATATGTCAGCAAAACCCTCACACTTAGAACACCGAACAACATAACAAACGGAGAAAAAATTAATGTTGTCAAGGATTTCATTCTATTGGGATCCACAATCAATGCTCATGTAATCAGCAGTTAAAAAGCCAAATGACATAAGACAAATCCTACACAGGTGGTAAACACTGTTAAAGTACTAAGGAGCAAAAATATCACTTTGGGGACTGAGGGGTGCTTGACCTAAGTAAGCCACGATTATTTTCAGTCGCCTCATCTGCATGTGAAAGCTGGACAATTAACTAAGGAAGGTTGGGGAAGAACTGATGCATTTAAATTATGGTGTTGATGAAGAACATTGAAAGTACCATGGACTTCCAGAAGAATAAATAAATCAGTCTTGGAGGAAATACGCCAGAATGATCCTTAGAAGAATGACAAAACATTGTCTCAAATACTTTAGACATGTTATCAGGAAATAACAAGGAAAAGGACATGCTTGGTAGTATTAAAAAAGAGGAAGACCCTTTAAAAAAAAAAAAGAGGAAGAGGAAGAGGAAGACCCTTAACCAGGTGGATTGGCACAGTGGCTATACCAATGGGCTCAAACATAACAATTGTGAGGATGGTGCAGGACTTCTTGGCAAGCAGTATTTTATTTTATTGGCTCACTATGAGTTGGAGCTGATTTGTGGGCACTTAACAAAATGAACTGGTAAGAGGTTGAAGTCATTCTTGATTTTTCTTCTGAAATGAGTTACCTGATTTATCAGGAGGTCCCATTGGCTCTACTCTCACACTCTAAGATTAAAATATATCCAGTATTAATACACATGTAAAGCTGTTCAAGATCATTAATCATGTGAGAAATGCAAATTAAAACCACAATGAGATCTGCAAACCTACTACCCATTGCCAATCCAACTCACAGTTTGACCCCAGTAGATAGGGTAGCAGTTCTCCACCATGTTTCCAAGGTTGTAAATTTACTCATGAAAACAGAGGGCCATTAAAAAAAGAAAGAAAGAAAAAAGAAAACAGGGTCACATCTTTCTCCCATAGAGACACTGGTGGGTGTGAACCGCTAACCTTGGAGTTAGCAGCTGATTGCTTAATCACTGCACCACCAAGGCTCCTCACATACCTGTTAGAATGGCTAAAGTTAAACAAACAAACAAACAAAACCTAATCATATCAAGTGTCCATGAAAATGAGGCACAATTAGCATTCTTGAATACTTCTGGCAGGGATGTAAAATTGTACGAGCACTTTGGAAAACAATTTAGCCACTCTTTAAAAACCACTTCAAAATAGTTTAGCAGTTTCTTAAAAACAAAAAACCACCTATGAGCCAGCCATTTCACTCTCAAATTTGTCTGAGAGAAATGAAAACATTATCTACACAAAGATTTCACATTTGTAGTAAGAGCCCAACTAGTGTAGTTAGTGGGTTGAGCTGAGCTGCCAATCTCAAGCTGAGCAGTTCAAGGTCACCTTACAGCCTCAGAAACCTACAGGAGCAGGTCCACTCTGTTATCTATGAGTTGAATGCAGTGCTATGGCAGAGAGCTAGTTTGGTTTGGGTTTATTTGTTACACACCAAAGCAGGAAACAAATCAAATGTTCAATAGGTGACTGAGTAAACAGTATAATTCAGACGATGGAATATTAGTCAACAATAAAAAGGCACAAGTGATTGCTAAAAATTAATTATGCTGGCCAAAAGCAGCTAGAGAGTACATCTTGAATATCTTTTTCTACAAATATCTATAGATATGATATATATTTATCTCTAGATAAATATCTAAGATAAATCAAAACTATTAAGCCAATAATTTATAACTTCAAATTTACTTTAAGAGGCAATTGGCAAATCGGCCAACACATTTTGACTAGCTAGTCAATAAGCTCTAGATAAATGTGCCCGACTCTCTCTCTCACTCACTCTCACCCTCTAATTCTCTCATTCACTGACTCACTCTCTCTCTCACTCACTCTCTCATTCAGACTCACTCACTCTCATTTACTGACTCACTCACTCACTCTCTAATTCTCTCACTCTCACGCCCTCTAATTCTCTCACTGACTCATTCACTCTCTCACTCATTCACTGACTCACTCACTCACTCTCATTCACTCTCTCTCTCTC